TAAGAATCCCAAGGAGAATAACTATAAAGGTAACCATGCCAAGACACATCATCATCACATTTTTGGTAACCAGTGATAAAGTGAAAATCTTGAAAGTAGGCAGAGAAAAAATACACATCATGTACAGAGTAACAGAGATAAGAATGACAGCAGACTTCTCATCAGAAACTTAGCAAATCAAAATACAATGGAGATAACTCTTTATTTTTATTTTATTTTATTTTATTTTTATTTATTTTTTTTTTTTGAGACTGAGTGATTCTTGCCCAGTCTGGAGTGCAGTAGTGTGATCTTGGCTCACTGCAACCTCCGCCTCCTAGTTTCAAGCGATTCTCCTGCCTCAGCCTCCTGAGTAGGTGAGATTACAGGTGCATGCCACCACACCTGGCAAATATTTTTGTATTTTTAGTAGAGATGGGTTTTCACTATGTTGGCCAGGCTGAATCTCAAACTCCTGATCTCATGATCTGCCTGCCTCGGGCTCCCAAAGTGCTGGGATTACAGGTGTAGGCCATTGCGCCTGGCCTGGAGAGACATCTTTAAAGTACTTTTTAAGAAAGCCTACTGGGGCTGGGTGCAGTGGCCAACACCTGCAATCTCAGCAGAGGCAGAAGAATCACTTGAGTCCAGGAGTTTGAGACCAGCCTGGGTGACATGGCAAAACCCTATCTCTGCAAAGAATACAAAAAATCAGCCAGGCACAGTGGCTTGCCTGTGGCCCCAGCTCCTTGAGAGACTTAAGGTGAGAGGATCGCTTTAGCCTGGGAAGCAGAGGCTGCAGTGAGCTACAATTGAGCCACACTGCACTTTAGCCTGGGTGACAGAGTGAGACCCTGTCTCAAAAAAAAAAAAAAAACAGAGGCCTACTGCAATTTGTTGCTGATAGACCTCCACAAGAAATGTTGAAGTTGTTCAGGCAGAAGGCAAATGACAAAGGATTGAGAAGTGCTAGAAATGGTAACTGTGGGAGTAAAAATAAGACATTCTTTTTTTCTTTTTTAACCTCTTTAAAAGATTGTTGTATTGAAGGTGATTGCTAACAGGTACAGGATTTAACTTTTTGTGTGATGGAAATGTTCTGCAATTAGTGGTGATGGTTGTGCACCATTGTGAATTAAAGAAATAGTAGCTTTCAAAAGAGTTGTTTAAAGCAAAAATAATAATGCATTATAAGTTTTATAACATGTGGGAGTAAAAGGTATGACAATAGCACAGGGAATGAAAGGGGATGGGAAGGGTATAAGAAACATTACTAAGGCTTTATTTATTTATTTATTTATTTATTTCACAGAGTATCGCTTTGTTGCCCAGACTGGAGTGTGGTGGCACAATCCCTGCTCACTGCAACCTCTGCCTCCTGGGTTCAACAGTTCTGCCTCAGCCTCCCAAGTAGCTAGGATTTCAGGTATGCACCACCACACCCAGCTTATTTTTGTATTTTTAGTGAAGGTGAAGTTTCACCCTGTTAGCCAGGCTGGTCTTGAACTCCTGACTTCAGGTGATCAACCTGACCTTAAGTGATCTGCCTTCCTCAGCCTCCGAAAGTGCTGGGATTACAGGCATGAGCTACCATGCCTGGCAAAAACCTTAATAAGGCTCTTAAGCTGTATATGAAATGGAGTCATCAAATTTACATCTAGAAAATTAAAACAATTTATCGTCCCACTTCAAATGTACGGGAGTGCCAATATCCTTGTCCATGTGTGTATTCATTTAAAAACACTGCCACCCAGATGTTTTTAAAAACTTGATTACCCTAGACACCCAGTCCTCACTGTGCTTGAGGGATACTTTATCTCTGAGATCTCTGAAATTCTATCAGAATCTCTTTACCTTAAATTTGGCTAAAACATAAAATGTATACATTTATTTATTTCCTTTCCTACTCTTCTTACCCCCTTTCTTCATAAGCATAGTAATTTCTTTTGTTACTACTTCAGCTTCAGTTGTTCTAGAATGTGGACATTTTGAAGACACATTCCATGTCTCTCTTATTCTCTGTTGTATCATGGCTGTAGTATACTAGATGCTCGATGCTCAATAAATTTGTCAAAAAAAAATACTGTTTTCTTTCTATACACAGTATTGGTAAGGTTGATCTGCATATTTCTAACATTTTTTTCTTTCATCTTGTTAATCTATTTTGTCTTTTTGATTTGAGTTGTAGGATAATTCATTTACTTATTTTTTTGTGTTACTAATTTTTGTTTGGTTATATTGCATCTGCTACTTACTACTTCTATTGCTGTTTTAAATTTGGCAAATCATGCTTTTCATCTCTGAAAATCTTTTCATCTCTGAAATCTTTCCTCATATTATTCTGATTTCATTTTTACAGATGCAAAATTCACTCAAATTCTATTAAAATATTAAGCACCTTGCATTTCACATTTTTCTTCAACTTATACCACATACTGTGAGACTGTCAAGTTTTTAAATCTCTTTTTCAGCTCTAGGGCACTTAAACTTTAAAATTAGGGTGTTTAAAACCCCTTAGGACTGGGAAATAAAAGAAAATGGAGTACCCATTTCTTCCTTCAATCCAGCCACCTCAACACATAATTAAAATGTGGTATTGGTGCTGGACACAGTGGCTCACACCTCTCATCCCAGCACTTTGGGAGTCTGAGACAGGCAGATCCTGTTAGCCCAGAAGTTTGAGACCAGCCTGGGCAACATTGTGAAACCCCATTTCTACAAAAAATTAGCCACACCTGGCGGCTTGTGCCTGTGGCCCCAACACTTGGGAGGCTGAGGCGGGAGGATTGCTTGAGCTCAGGAGGATGAGGTTACAGTAAGCTGTAATTGTACTCTAGCCTGGGTGACAGAGCAAGACCCTGTCTCGGAAAAAAAAAAAACCCATGAAATTTTTATTAGTATAAAGTTGGGTCTAAGAGTTTTATTTGCAAAGATTACCATGTGGGGGTAATCTCTAGACATTTTTGCCTCCCTGGCCTATTTTGTAAGATCCCCCAAAGGTGGAGAACTGGATCAGGAAAATAAGCAGAGCTTGAATACACACTGCCATTTTTGTTTTGTTTTGTTTTGTTTTGTTTTTGAGACGGAGTTTCGCTCTTGTTACCCAGGCTGGAGTGCAATGGTGTGATCTCGGCTCACCGCAACCTCCACCTCCTGGGTTCAGACAATTCTCCTGCCTCAGCCTCCTGAGTAGCTGGGATTACAGGCACGTGCCACCATGCCCAGCTAATTTTTTGTATTTTTAGTAGAGACGGGGTTTCACCATGTTGACCAGGATGGTCTCAATCTCTTGATCTCGTGATACACCCGCCTCGGCCTCCCAAAGTGCTGGGATTACAGGCTTGAGCCACCGCGCCCGGCCCACACTGCCATTTTTAAGAGGACAACAAATTTAGAACTTGAAAGAATTGGAGTTACTTCTTTCCTTAATTACACTTTGGAGTTTTGCCCTCGGGACCAAGAAATGAATGTGAGTTGTTCTTCCCTAGGAGTCCAGTCTAATGCTAGACATACATGTTAATAAGCACAATCAGTGCGACAGAAATTGGTGGCGTGAAGGTAAAGTGAAGAGACCTGTAATTCATGGTTGATGTTTTCCACTGAGTGGCCAGCATGGGTTTTATGCAGAATGGAGGACATACGAGATTTCATTTTGCGGTAATAGGAAACTGTAACCTGGGATGGGTAAAAAGAAACTACAAAGCAATGCTTACGCTCAGATTGGAAACTTTGAATTTGTACTGGTGCTAATTATGAGTTTTTTCCTAGTAGTATTTACTGCCCCTATACAGGGGTGGAAAATGAAACTAGTGTATTTACTCAAAATAAGTGATTTGAAGGAAATTGCGACTGAGCAAAGTAGTGCTTTATAATCAGCCCCAGTTTTCAGGATAAGACTGCTAGAGACTCATTACTTTTTACATTATAATGTGAAATTAATCATTAAAATCTTAAGTAAAAATGGAGGTTTTTGGCCAGGTGCAGTGGCTCGTTTCTGTAATCCAAGCACTTTGGGAGGCTGAAGGGGGTGGCTCACTTGCAATCAGGAGTTCAAGACCAGCCTGGTTACCAACAGGGCGACCGTCTGTACTAAAAATACAAAAATTAGCCCAGTGTCTTGGCTCATGCTTGTAATCTCAGCTACTTGGGAGGCTGAGGTGGGAGGATCACTTGAGCCCAGGAGACAGAGGTTGCAGTGAGCCAAGATCACAGCACTGCACTCCAGCCTGGGAAACAGAGTAAGACTTCATCTCAAAAAAAAAAAAAAAAAAACCCAAACATACATGGTATGTTTCAGCCCGTTGTACTTACTCTCCTTGTCCAAGCTCAAATTGTCCGTTTTTTAGCCTGTAGTGCCACTTCTGCTTGGCTCTTGGACCTTGTAACAATCCTGTTTATGCTTAGTTTCCTTGTTGTCCAATGTGACACAGTGTTCTTGGCTTATCTTGCATATTTCCTGCCCAGCCACTTTTCCAAGAAGAATGTGAACATTTAAAACAAAAAGTTTCAGGACCCCAGTTGCACCCAAACCAGCTTAATCAGAATCCCTGGTGAGGATAGGGCCAGGATACAGACAGGGTCCCCAGAATGGAGTGTAGTGGTGGGATCTCAGCTCACTGCAACCTCTGCCCCTGGATTCAAGTGATTCTCCTGCCTCAGCCTCCTGAGTAGCTGGGACTACAGTTGTGAGCCACCACTCTCAGCTAATTTTCATATTTTCAGTAGAAACAGGGTTTTGCCATGTTGGCCAGGCTGGTGTCCAACTCCTGACCTCAAGTGATCCGCCCGCCTTGGCCTCCCAAAGTGCTGGAATTACAGGCATGAACCACCACACCCTGCCAGGATACAGTATTTTTTAAAAAGCACACCCAGCCTTGGATGGAAAACCACTTGAGGAGAGTATGCTGCCTTATCGGGCTCTGTAAACACCTTATCTCTGCACAAGACTGGGACTTTGAGTGGAGTCCTTGGCTAAAGCTCTCATTGCTACATGGTGACCTTTATTCCTCTCCTGTTTAAAGCTTGTGTTTCAGAATTTTGACCCGAATGCATCTGTGTTGAAAGCCGGGCTTGGTCTGTCATCCCAGGACTCTGTGTCGGTCCCTTTCCTTGCCTATTTGTTGAGTTGGAGCTCATCTTCATGCCTCTGGTAAATAAGTTATTTGATAGCTTGCTTAGAGTCTCAGTACTTTCCCCTGCCCTTAGAATGAATACCAAAATATGTGGCCTGCAGTGTAGACTATGCACAGCCTTCACTGTAGACTGCTCAGGCCCCCTCTTGGTTCCTGGAGTCTGCCATGCTTTCTTCTACCACCAGGCCTTTGCATGTGCTGCTGTCTGCTGGGAATGCCTTGCCTTTCCTCATTGCTTAGTTCTCCTCTACTCATCTTTCAGGTGCCAGCTTGACTGTCTTCCTTGGGGAAGCTTCTCTGACCTTGATACACCAGATCAGCCCCCATGTGCTGACTTTGTCTTATTGGTAATATTTCTCTTTACCTTCAGGACACACATCAAGGCTCCAAAGTTGCAGTTTTGCATTTGTTTGTGTGATCATGGGATGCATATCTCTCTAGAGCCTGACTCTTTGGAGCTCACGTCCTGTCTCCACCAGTTTTAGCCGTGGGACCTTGAACAAATCATTTCATCTCTGGTCCCCAGTTTCTTTTAACTGCAAAACAGGGATGATATAATATTTTCACCTACCTTGTGAGGTGGGGATGAAGATTACATAGGGTAATTTGTGTAAAGCATTTAGAACAGAGCTAGCTACTAATAGTAGAGAATCTTGGCAGGAATTACTAATGATTACTTCAGGGGACCACAAGCTCCATTACAGGCAGGGGTCATTTCTGTTTGTTTAGATTTGTATGCAGGGTGCTTGGCACATGGATGGTGCTCAGGAAATACTTGTTGGATGAATGAATGAAGTAGAGATAATAGTAATACCATGTTTATAGAATTCCATGAGGATATAAAATAATGCAAGTATATAAGTTCTTGGTAGCGTGTCTAGCTCATATTAGGTGGTCAATAAATATTCAATGCCTGAATAAGGAAAATAGGGACAATAGTAATACCAGCTTAGGAGGTTGTCGTGGGGATCTGAGGTAACCCTGTAATACCTTGTAGAGTGCCTAGCACATAGTAGGTGCTGAGAAAATATTTGTTGATGAATGAGTGAAGTGGGGATGATGGTAACACCAGCTCCTATGGTTGCTGTGGGGATAGAAGATAAGGCAGTTCGATAGCTTGTTGTATTGTGGTTGCACCTGGTAGACACTCTGTTGAGTGAAAAGAGAGGAGCTCCTATGAGTTTCTTTCTCCTGGGGCTTAGGAGAGAATCCTTTTGGGGTACAGAATGGTATGGAGCGGTCACTGGTCCTCTTGAAGGAAGAATGGGCAGCTTGCTACTCCTTGCCAAGCTCTGACCTGGATGTAAAGTTGAATCATTCCTTTCCCTCTTCCTCCCTAACCTGTTGTTTCTTTCCACTAGAATATTTGCCCAGAGTCCAGCACCTCCTTCCTGTCCAGGATTACTTTTTGGTGGATCACAGGATAAGGCTGGGCCCCTGAGACTTCAGGGAGGTGGTGGGGAATGAATGAATGAATGAATGAATGAATGAAAATGCTGAGCTCCCTGCTTGACTTCTCCTTCGCTCTTCTGCAGAGTTGTCTTGAATCTACCTGTGCTGACCATGTGGTTTTGGAGACACCAACATTGTCCTCCCAAGTCCATCACCTTGAATCTAATAAACACATGAGCCATGAGCAGCTTAAATACCTGCAGAAGGCTTGGCCTGGGACAGCCATGCAGTGGACTGCTCTTGCTTTAGCTTTAGATTTGGGTATTTATTTATTTATGTATTGCCTAGACATCATGTTCAACCTGACAGATTTGGGTTTTTTAAATATTAGGTATAGTTATTATTGACATTGTTTCCCTCCCATCCGCCACTCCTTAGAAAAATAATACTGTCTCACCATAGGAAATGTGGGTTTAAAAAACACATGTGCAGATCAGTAGTAAGGAAACACCCAGAGCAACAGCTGTTACCATTTTAATATGGTCTTCTTTTCTCCTTCTGGTCTTTTCTTTTTGAGATGGAGTCTCACTCTGTCTCCCAGGCTGGAGTGCAGTGGTGCGATATCAGCTCACTACAACCTCTGCCTTCTGGGTTCAAGTGATTCTCCTGCTTCAATCTCCTAGGTAGCTAGAATTACAGGCTTGTGCCATTGTGCATGGCTAATTTTTGTATTTTTAGTAGAGACAGGGTTTTGCCATGTTGGCCAGGCTTGTCTTGAACTCCTGACCTCAGGTGATCCACCCAGGTCAGCCTCCCAAAGTGCTGGGATTACAGGTGTGAGCCACCATGCCCAGCCACCTTGTGGTTTTCTTTTGGCACATCTTTTTCTGCCCATTGTCAACATCTTATTGGGGATTATTTGAAGAATCTTTCTTTTACCCTAATATGCATCTTTTTGGTTTTTTGGTGACAGGCTTTCCCTCTGTTGCTGAGTCTGGAGTGCAGTGGCACAATCGTAGCTCACTGCAGTCTTGATTTACTGGGTTCAAGTAATGCTCCTACCTCAGCCTCCTGAGTACCTGGGATTATAGGCACGCTCCACCATGCCCAACAGATTTTTCTCTTTTTTGCAGAGATGGGATTTTACCATGTTGCCCAGACTGGTCTCCAGCTCCTGAGCTCAAGTGATTCTTCTGCCTCAGCCTCCAAGATTGCTGGTATTATAGGAATGAGCCACCATGCCCAGTCTCATTCTTCTCTTTATGAACTTTTTACAAACATCTTTTTAAAAGATTAGATGTTTTAAATAATTTCTTCAAATTACTATTAAAGAATGTCACTGGAACAGTTGATGTAATTTGTATATGAATGCAGGACAATGCAGGACACCAGATGGATGCTAATAACATTCATTCTTGTTTTGGAAAATTATGCTCCAGTTACATAAGAGTATGTCCTAGATTGTAAGGGGATAACCTGTTATTTTTAGAGGTAAAGATATGTGAAGCCCACATCTTACCTTTTTTTTTTTTTTTTTTTTTTTTGAGACACAGTCTTGCTCTGTTGTCCAGGCTGGAGTGCAGTGGCGTGATCTGCAGCCTCTGCCTCCTGGCTTTAGGTGATTCTCCTGTCTCACCCTCCTGAGTAGCTGGGATTATAGGCATGCACCACCATGCCTGGCTAATTTTTGTAATTTTAGTAGAGATGGGTTTTCACTATGTTGACCAGGCTGGTCTCAAACTCCTGACCTCAGGTGATCCACCCACCTCAACCTTCCAAGGTGCTGGGATTGCAGGTGTGAGCCACTGAGCTAGGCCTTTAACTGTCTGAATGGTTTAGAAAAAGATGATGCATTTGCGTGCGTGCGTGTGTGTATGTGAATGGATAGAAGTAGAATGTTACTGTAAATTTGGTAAAATGTTAATAGTGGTGAGTTGAGTGAATTCTTAGTATGATTTGAATAATTTTTCTATAAGTTTGAAATTATTTTAAAACAAAAAATGAAAGTGCTTAACTTTTTATTATAAAGATGTTCAGCTGACCAAGTGCAGTGACTCACACCTGTAATGTCAGCACTTTGGGAGGCCAAGGTGGGTGGATTACCTGAGGTCAGGAGTTTGAGACCAGCCTGGCCCATGTGGTGAAACCCTGTCTCCACTAAAAATACAAAAATTAGCCAAGAATGGTGGTAGGTGCCTGTAATCTCAGCTACTTGGGAGGTTGAGGCAGGAGAATCGCTTGAACCCAGGAGGCCACTGTTAAACAGTGAGCTGAGATTTCACCACTGTACTCCAGCCTGGGTAGCGTCAGATGGAAAGACTAATATAAGAAAACTCAATAAGCTTATCACCCAGATTTCACTATTGCTAATTCTTTGTCATGTCAGCCTTTTCCCCGCTTCCTCAACCTGTTTTCTTGGGGGATTCTGGCTCTATTGCCCAGGCTGGAGTGCAATGACACGATTATGGCTCCCCGCAGCCTCTACCTCCTGGCCTTCAAGCAGTCCTCCCACATCAGCCTCCTGAGTAGCTGGGACTACAGGTGTGAGCCATTATGACTGGGTAATATTTTTTATTTTTACTTTTTGTAGAGATAGTCACCCAATTGAGCTCATGAAGTTTTCCCATCTCAGCCTACTGAAGTGCTAGGATTAGAGGCATGAGCTACTGGTCCTGGCCCATATTAGCCTTTTTTAATGTAAAACTTTTAAAAGTTGTCAGGGCATGGTATCTCACACCCATAATCTCACACACTTTGTGAGGCCAAGGTGGGAGGATTGTTCAAGCCCAGGAGCTCAAGATCAGCTTGGGCAACATAGGGAGACTCTGTTTCTACAAAAATTAAAAAATAAAAAATAATTAGCCAGTCATAATGGCTCACACTTGAAGTCCCAGCTACTCAGGAGGCTGAGGTGGGAGGATCACTCTAGGCCAGGAGCTGGAGGCTGCAGGGAGCTGTGATCATGCCACTGCACTCCATCCTGAGTGACAAGCGAGACCCTGTCACCAAATGAATGAATGAATGAATGAGGCCTGTAATCCCAGCATTTTGGGAAGCTGAGGGGGCCAGATTCATTGAGCTCAGGAATTTGAGACCAGCCTGGGCAACATGGTGAAACCCTGTCTCTACTAAAATACAAAAAATTAGCCAGGTGTGGTGACATGTGCCTGTAGTCCCAGACTTGGGAGGCTGAGGCAGAAGAATTGCTCAAATTCAGGAGACAGACGTTGCAGTGAGCCAAGAACACGCTACTGCACTCCAACCTAGGTGACATAGCGAGACTCCATCTCCAAAAAACAAAAAAATAAATACATGAATTAATGATGAAAAATTGAATTACAGCCATCTTGACATTTTCCTCCTAAATCTTTTTTCCCTATATCTTTTCTATGTACGCCTCCAAAAGAAAGCCATTTTTCCTTTATGACCCAACAGAATGAGCTGTAATAACCTCGTAATATGTGCAAATGTTTATCCACATTCAGACATCCCCAGCTATGTGGCTGCCTTCGTTCAGCAGCGGGCAGTTGTGCTGGGGAGGGGCGCAGCATCGACATACTTGTGGAATCAGTGAGCCCATCCTCCTCCTCCTCTCATTGACTCTCATTGCCTAACTCCCTTGTGTCTTGGCATCAGGTTGATCATCCGGGACTACCACCAGCCCCTGGAGAGCAGTGGCCTCTGGTCCTTAAACAAGGAGGACATGTCGGAACAAGTCATGCCTGTTTTGGTAAAGAAGTGGACGAAGAAATGCACCAAGTCAAGGAAGTAAGTGTGTTTCCTTGTCCTCTAGAATGCCCCAGTTCCCTCCTTCCCACCCATGTGGCCTGAATCCAGGCTGTGGCCCTGGCATTGCTGCTTGTTACTAGCTTTGTGGTTCTCGCTTCTCCTCTGGGCCTCAGTTTGTTTTTCTGTCAAATGGGGTAAAATCTCACAAGTCATTAAGGCAACTGAGTAGAAAAGAAGACAGAAGCTGGGCATGGTGCCTCACGCCTGTAATCCCAGCACTTTGGGAGGCCAAGGCGGGTGGATCACAAGGTCAGGAGTTTGAGTCCAGCCTGGCCAACATGGTGAAACCCCATCTCTACTAAAATACAAAAATTAGCTGAGTATGGTGGTGAGTGCCTGCAATTTCAGCTACTTAGGATCCTAGGCTGAAGCAGAAGAATCACTTGATCCCAGGAGGCAGCAGTTGCAGTGAGCCAAGATCACACCACAGCACTTCAGCCTGGGAGACAGAGTGAGACTCCATTTCAAGAAAATAAAAGAAGAGAGAAAAACGCTGCCCAAGCAGGCAGTTGATGATATTTGCCATGGCATGTGACTGTCCCTCCTTGAGTCAGTCAGTCTTTTTTCTGTCATTTCTGAGCATCTGGCATCCCATGTGATCCTGCTGTTTCAAGTGTTTCTGTCCAACACACCCAGCTGACCATGTACGTTTGTTTAGCCAAAGAAGCCACATTTACGGGTGATTTTGGCTGTACTGGATTTTAGACTCTGCCCCCTATGTAAGGTGTGCCCCACTGTGCCACCTCTGTCATTCTTTTGGGAATCCGTTCAGGGCCTCCACTGCACATACCTTAACTCTTCAAATCAGACACCATCAGTTGCACGATACATTATTATTGTGTGTAACAGTAAGAAAGAAAAGCAACTGCCAATTAAACAAGGACATAAGACGCATCCCGAGCCTGGACGAGCTGGAACATGAAATTGCAAGTGATATGTGGGCAGTGGATTGTGGCCATGGGGACAGTAGGGTGGCTTGTTTTTGTTTCTGTTGCCTGTTCTGGGGTAAGCTTACTATGGTAAGCTGTGGCAGAGCCAGCCTAGTGCACTGGATTCTCCACAGACCCGCTGGCCTTACAGATAAATTCCCAGACCCAGGTTCAGTTCCTCATTCTATTCCAGGGATGCCCAGGATACAGGCCTTCAGTCAGACCCAGATGGTGGGTGGAAATCTGGGACATCCATGATGCCGGCCACTAGGACATCAGCAGGGGACCTCATGACCCTGGTGGGTGGCTGTTTGGGTGGTCTAGGTGATGGGAGAAATTGTCTTGTGGGAGATAGATAAAGCTTGGTCCTCCATGGCTGAGCATTGTACGGAAATGGCCCATGTCCATGACCCAGCTGAAGGTCATTGGCAGGCAGAGGTGGGGTCCCTGTTTATTACATGGAGACAGAACTAGTAGGATGGATGGATGGATGGATGGATGGATGGATGGATGGATGGATGGATAAATGATAGATTGGTAGATAGAGGATAGGTAGATAATAGATGGATAGTGGATGGATACATGATAGGTGGATGGATAGATGATAGAGGGATGATTGATAGATGATGGATGAATGTATGGATTGAGGGTGAGAGGGGATCTACTAGGGAAACTGGATCATGTGATTATGGAGAAGTCCTGTGCTAGGCCATCTGCAAGTTGGAGAACCTGAGAAGCTGGTAGCATGGCTCAGGCCAAGTCCAAAGATCTCAGACCCAGGGAAGCTGATGGTGGAATTCTCAGTCCACAACCAAAGACCTGAGAACCTGGAGTGACTGGGGTCAGTCCCAGAGTCCAGAGGCTAGACAGCCTGGAGTTCTGATTTCCAGGGGCAGGAGAGGATGACATCCTGGCTACAGAAGAGCGATCACATGAATTTACCATTTCTCTGACTTTTTCTTGTGTCTGGACCCTCTGCTGATTGAGTGGTGCCCAGTCACATGGGGTAAGGATGGATCTTCCTTATTGAGTCCACTAATTCAAATGCCAGTCTCGTCTGGAAACACCCTCACAGGCACACACGCAGAAATAACACTTTACCAGCCATCTGGATATCCCTTAACTCCCTCAAGTTGACCCTTAACATCACCTGTCACCTGGATTCCTTCAGCCTCACCTGCAGTGTTCTCCCTGCTATTAAGGCCACATTTGTAGCATGAACTTCAGCATTTCTCATCACCAACACCTCTGCTGATCACCTGGCTTGGCTTCCTTTCTTGGAAGAAGGATGCCCACCTTTGTGTCCCCTGGAGCTTGCCAGGCGAGCAGGTTGTTGGAGACACCATGGGAGAGGCAGAGCCTTGGGAGGAGGACGGACTTTGAATCAAGAAGCTCCTTCACTGATGTGGCTTTTAACTCACTGAGCAGGTAAAACTGCTGTTTTTGTGCTTAGTGATGTTTAGTTCCTGAGGGTTCGGGAAGGGGAACAAAACACATACTTTTTTTTTTTTTTTTTAGACAAAGTGTTGCTCTGTCACCAGGTTAGAGTACAGTGGCATCATCTCAGCTCACTGCAACCTCCACCACCTGGGTTCAAGCAAGTCTCATGCTTCAGCCTCCCAAGTAGCTGAGATTACAGGTGTGCACCACCATGCCTGACTTATTTATTATTTTATTTATATATATATATATATATATATATTTTTTTTTTTTTTTTTGAGACAGTTTCACTTTTGTCACGCAGGCTCGTGTGCAATGCTGCAATCTCGGCTCACTACAACCTCTGCCTCCTGGGCTCAAGTGATTCTCCTGCCTCAGCCTCCCGAGTAGCTGGGATTGTAGGCATGTACCACCACACCCAGCTGTTTTTGTATTTTGAGTAGAGACAGGGTTTCTCCATGTTGGTCAGACTGGTCTCAAACTCCCAGCCTCAGGTGATCTGCCTGCCTCGGCTTCCCGAAGTGCTGGTATTATAGGTGTGAGCCACTGTGCCTGGACTTTTGAATTTTTTTTTCTCTGTAGAGACAGGTCTCACTATGTTGTCCAGACTGGTCTCCAACTCTTGACTTCCAGATATCCTCCAGCCTCAGCCTTCCTAGTAGCTGGGATTACAGGTATGATCCACCATACACAGCTGAGTTCTGTTTTATAACAACCCAGGATGCCCTGGGGAAGGTGGATATTAGGGATGAGAGTGAAGGCAGGGAGAACTGACTGGGGATCTCAAGGCCTGTCCATGAAGTTCCTCCATGCCTCACTGGGAGCCTCTATTTTCTTTATTTTGACACAGGGTCTCTTTTGTCCAGGCTGTAGTGCAGTGGAGCCATCTCAGCCTCCATTGCCTAGGCTGGAGTGATCCTCCCATTTCAGCCTCACAAGTAGCCGGGTCTGTGGGCATGTGCCACCACACCTGGCTAATTTTTTTTTGTAGAGATGGTATCTTGCCAGGTTGCCCAGGTTGTTCTTGAGCTCCTGAGCTCAAATAGTCCACCTACCTTGGCCTCCCTAAGTGCTGAGATTACAGGCGTAACCTTCCATTTATTACCCAGAGCATTTTCTGAAATTTCAGTGAGATAAATGTCATAATAAGCTGTGCCCTAATCCTGAATAAGTGCTGGGCAGGTTTTAGTTGTACAAGTTGTATTTATTCATTGCTACATTTCCATCTTGCTAGGGAGGGTGTGGTGAGAAATGGCTCACTGGTCTCGAAAGCAGGCCACCTGAAAGGGGGCTGACTCTGTGAGTACCTTGGTGTTTAGGGATGCTCAGCGTGGGACCAGGGTGTCATTTCCTAGGGACATTGATAGATGAATTGTTTGCTTTATTTTCCCAGAGGCATAAGCCAGATCTGGCACCTATAACCCCTGTGGAACTGGAGATAATGACAAGAACAACCCTGTCCTAGGCTGGAATTTCCTGGTGTGGCCCTTTATACCCAGATCCCTTTAGTTAATCAGAGAAGGGAATGCAGCCCGTGCAGCTCTGGGCTGCTGGGTTTCCTAGGCTCAGGGACCAAGTGAGGGAGTCCTGGGGTTGGGGGTCTGCATGGCTTCTTGGACCCCTTTACAACCTTTATGGACCCCTTTACAACCTTTATTCACCACTGAGTGACTTCCTCTCAAAAGTCAGGTGTGCCAGGGCACGGTGGCTCATGCCTGTAATCAAAGCACTTTGGAAGGTGGAGGTGGGAGGATCACCTGAGGTCATGAGTTAGAGACCAGCCTGGTCAACATGGTGAATCCCCGTCTCTACTAAAAAATACAAAAATTAGCTGGGTGTGGTGGTACTTACCTGTAATCCCAGCTACCTGGGAGGCTGAGACACGAGAATTACTTGAATTGTTTGAAGCTGAGATGGCACCACTGCAGTCCAGCCTGGGGGACAGAGTGAGACTCCATCTCCAAAAAAAAAGCAGGTGTGAGCGATCTCCCTGCTTCTACATTTGGGTTTGGAAACCCAATGCTTCGTTGGTTTGTGTGTAATAGTTTTATGTTCTCTTTTTTGTGTATGGCCTCTTAGAGCTTAGGGCCATTTTGAATTGTGGTTTCTGCTGGCATGACTATAAAATGCTTTGTGACTCTGGTTTTGTTTTGTTTGTTTTTTTTTAAGTTAGGCATAGTTACCATACAGCCAGCCACTCCCTTCCCAGACATCCACCCAAGGGAGCTGAGAACATAGGTTTATAAAAGATTGATACAGGAACATTCTTATCTACTTTGTGATAACCCAAACTGGAGGTAAGCCAGACATCTATTAGCAAGTGAACAGATGGATTTACCTATTATGTGCATCTGCACAACTGAATACTAAGTTATGTACAAGAACAAACTATTGGCTGGTTTGTTCAACAAACAGTGGCTCATGCCTGTAATCTCAGCACTTCGGGAGAGGTGGGTGGATCACCTCAAGTCAGATTAAGACCAGCCTGGCTAACATGGTGAAACCCCATCTCTACTAAAAATTAGCCAGGTATGGTGGTGTGTACTTAATCTCAGCTACACAGGAGGCTGAGCCGTGAGAATCACTTGAACCTGGGAGGCCGAGGTTGCA